ATTAAAGAAAATAAAATGTCTCTTTTGAGGGAGGTCTTGTGAGACCAGGGTCAAAGACAGGTGGAGATGTTTATTCCCCCTCGGGGTGACCCTCACACTTTGGTTACATTAGATTTACTAACTTTCAATCTACACTATAGTTTTGCTCATATTAGCTTTTGGTTAGTTTTGCTAACTTTAGCCTTTAGCTACAGTTTTGTTTTGTTCTCCTTTAATGACAGTTTTTCTAGTTTTAGCTTTTAGCTACAGTTTTCAATAACTATTAGCTTCATTTTGCCAATTTTAGCTATTTGGTACCTATTAGTTTCTTTCGACTTTAGAAATTGTAAGCTAGTTTTACATTTTAGCCACATACGTTTAGCAACAGTAATAATTTTAGCTCTTAGCTACTGTTCTGCTGTTTCTATAATGTAGTTACAGTTCTGTTAATTTTAAATTTTAGCCACAGTTTTGCTAACTTAAGGTTTTAGCTACAGTTTTGCTTTCTTTATTTACTGTTTGGCTAATTTTAGCTTCAAGACACAATTTTGCTAGTTTTAGCTTTTTGGTATGAATTAGTTTTCAATTTTAGATACGGTACACTAGTTTAGGTTTTAGCCACTGTTTTGATAATTTTAGCATTTTGTCACAAGATTTCTAAATTTAGCCTACAGCTACTGTTCTGCTATTTTTATCTTTTTTGCTACAGTTGTGCTAATGTTAGCTTTTAGCAACAGTTTTATTAGTTTTAACTTGTTTTTTTTTTTCTTCTAATTTTAGCTTTTAGTTTAAGTTTTGATCATTTTAGCTTTTGGTACAAATTAATTTGTGTCTGATTGTTGCTTCACGCTAGTTTTACGTTTTGATCATTTTTGCTTTCCGTCACAATATTACTAACTTTCTCTTTTAGCTGTTGTTTTGTGTGCTTTACCCTTTAGCTACTGTTCTGTTTGTTTAGTGTTAGTTCTGATCATTTTAACTTCAGTTTAGCGACTCAGTTTTAGCTTCCTCAGTATAATTCAGTCACGTCTTTAAGCGCTCAGAGTTTCGACTGCGTATTTAACAGGAAAGGCAGTTTTWCTTCAGTTTTTGTCGGCTGTGAGGACAAACGTAACTCGACTCACTCGATCTCCATGCTGAGCAGCTCCAGCAGCGCGGTGAAGAGGCCCATGTCGTAGAGGAGGAAGATGTTGTGTCTGGACCAGTGGAGCACGTCCACCTCTGTGTCGCACTCATCAAACACTCCTGGATTTAAAAAAAACGAAGTTTTTGTTGGTTTGTGTATTTTTTATGTTTCGTTCTCTTTGATTAAAGGGAAACTTTGAAACCAACTCAGCACCACGCCACTGTTTGTTTATGTCAGAACCACTCACCCTGAGCCAGGTAGAGGATGGCCCGGGCCACCTTCAGTCTCTTGTCCCTGTCCGTCACCTCCAGCGCGTCCAGCAGTCTCATCACGTACGCCCTCTGCTCCTCCGCCGACAGCTCCGCCCACCTCCTGCCTCGAGCTGCGAGGACAAAACGTGTCAGGTGACAGCTTTGTTTAAAAATCAGCTGAAAGATAAAAATAGCTGAGTGCGCCTGCCAAACTACTCGTCGTCTTCTATTATTAGACTATGTGATTAAGAGGACGGAAACAGACATTAGGCATCATCATCAGTGACTCCATTAAGGATACCTTGACACCACTCAAATCTACTCAAAAATTATCTTCTGGTTAAACTAGACATGACTCAATAAATACGTTGATTCAAAGCCCCCAACTCACTGTACGAACGCAAAAAGCACAACTCAAGCAGGAAGCCCACTCTGTCAAACCAAACGCGCACTGATGAAAAGGATAAGATACAAAGAGGCAGCTCTGTGCTTTATCTCTGCACAACAGAAGGTAGAGCTCATCTGATTCGGCTCTTTATAATCCCAGAGAAGAACCATCACAAATAGGGTCTCGTTTCGGCTGCTTGCTCCGAAATGAATATTTGTTCTCCGTTAAAACCTGGAAAAATATGATTTGCTGAAAAGTCTCTTTCCAGTTATGATGGATCCATTGGTGAGCTTTGTTCAAAAATGCACTTTCTAAAAAACTCATGTTAAACAGATTTTGCTTCTTGGTATTTATTTTGTAATAAATTGATCAAATCAAGAAGCTTGGTCTTTCCCGTTTCCCTTGTTTTGATTAGTTTTTTTTTTGTTGTTTTTTTAGCACAACAAATGGTGTCAGATGGTAAGAAAGTAACTTTGTTCTTGGAAATCAAGAGCTTGTTTATACGAGTTTTGGGAAATATGTGCTTATTGACCTTCGGTGCGTCCTTTAAGGGTCTATTATCAACTAACAGTCAACAGATGCCATGCTATTAAAGGAAAAGCAAAAGTACTGTGGTTAAGAACAACAAACAGCAACAGTTAAGGCTATATCTCCTATAAACCAAAATGGWTCTCCTTGTCTTTACTGTAGCATTGCTGTCACTTGCATCTAAATTTGCTTTTTAGTGCTGTAAAGATCCATTTGATTGACCAAATATATTATTGAAATGCAGTCCAGGTTTGTAATTTACTGATATTGTASCGAAACTACATTTTCGATAATAGGTAATCATGCACTCAAGGACTACCATGGTTCCTGAAGTCCTCCTCAAAGTAGTCTCTGTTCAGGGCGAACTCCGGCTCCTCTGTGTAACTGTAGAGCTCTGAGGACGAAACAGAAGAGAACCAAACATGAAACAAATATTCTAATACTTCTAATAACCAAACATTTTTATTAGATCATGTTTGGGCATTCGTCTGTCTACAGAACTGGCAAAATAGCTCATGAACCAGACTATACATTCATGACTAAGTTTTGGAGTCAATCCAATTCAAGATGGCCACCATAGCTAATCAACTTTAGCGTACACAAAAATACCATTTTGTATGTTAAGTGAAGGAGACCAATGCCCCTTTTCCACTAGCACCTCTACATCACGGTTTGACATGGCTCTCCACAGTTCCAAGTAGGGGTGCACGATAAATCGACTGTCTGATTTCCTTAATTTTGGGAAATCAGGGATCAGCCATTGCTTAGATAAGATAGGTGGACAAGATCGACTTCTCTACCTCCACAACGGCCTGAAAATCAGCCGCTGTCCCCTTCTGCTCTGCTGTGAGCACTACTTAATATCCAGTTAAAGCAGGTTTGTATTGTTTCAAGTTTGTATTGTTCAATGTATTTCAATAAAATAAGATTGGAACATCGAAGGTCTATTGTGACCTTATAACACATGACAGTGTCAGCTATTTTTTAAAAATCTGTATCGGCCAAAATCAGAATTGGCAGGTCAGACTTTTTAAAGATCTGTGATTAGTGATCGGCCAGAAAACTGGAGCTGAGCCAAAAGGCGAAGCTCTCTATTTACAGGTCGGTCTACGTTCCAACCCTCATCTATGGTCACGAGCTTTGGGTAGTGACCGAAACAACAAGCTCRCGGATACAARCMGCCRAAATGAGTTTCCTCTGTAGGGTGTTTGGGCTCTCCCTTTTGCTACGTTCACACCGAACRTGTTTTGAGCTGCAGGAGCGGCCGGTTTACATGCAAAGTCTATGGTGGACACGCCTCTAGGGRTCTCGCGGCGCGTCAAGTCCGTTTAATGYGGCGCGCAAGKAAGGAAGATAGCGGTACAGCATTTTCCATGCATGCGTTGTGGCGAAAGCAGCCGACGCTTGAGTTCAAAAATCTGAACTTTTGCTCCTCGACGTGCCGCAGCAACCAATCGAGAGACTCATTTTTCCACATGACAGTTTCCTGAATGTTGCCCACTAAATTGAAACAAWCGAACAGGAGCTCTTTAGCTGAAATTGACCGTCTACAGTTGGTGTTCTGGCTGGAGATACAGTATCAGCACCGATGTGGGTCAGCAGCTTGTTAAACTGACCGCGGTGTTAAGCTGGGCTCGGGACAAAAAAAATTGTCAGCTCACAGCTCCTGGAGTGGTGAAACTAACTGAACAGACCTCCTCTAAATTATCTGGTGAATTAATTATCTGGTGTGCGCAATGTTCGCTTGCTCTTTAGCAAATAAAGCAAAGCCATTTCTTTATTTTATCTGCCGAAGACAGACTGGAAAAAACAAAGACGCTCCTCCCTCTTCAGACATACATCTAGTCTGTGTCCCGGTCTAAACGTAGCGCGTCCAACTTGAGGCATTGGGCGCATTTTTGCTGCTCAAAACGCGTTCAGTGTGAACGTAGCATCAGAGATAGGGCGAGAAGCTCGGTCATCCAGGAGGGACTCAGACTAGAACCGCTGCCCTTCCACATCGAGAGGAGTCAGTTGAGGTGGCTCGGGCATCTGGTTAGGATGCCTCCTGGAGACCTGGACGCCTCCCTGGTGAGGTATTCTGGGCACRTCCCACTGGGAGGAGGCCCAGAGGAAGATCTAGGACACGCTGGAGGGACTATGTTTCTCAGCTGGCCTGGGAACATCTTGGGATTCCCCCAGACAAGCTGGCCCAAGTGGCTGTGGAGAGGGAAGTCTGGGTCTCTCTGCTTAGGCTGCTGCCCCCGTGACCCAACCCCGGATAAACGGAAGAAAACAGATGGACAGAAAACTGGAATCGGTGCACCCCGAGTTCCAAGGCTTTTCCACTAGCAAGGATTCATGGAACTTCGTTGTGGTTCCAAGTGTACCACGGTGGCATGAAAACACGAAGTCAGAAGACTGTCGGTCACTGACTGGTTAGGGCAGAGGAGCCCAAAGTGGGGCCCGCGGGCCAAATTTGGCCCACCAAGCCATTTGATTTGGCCCACCAACAGTTGCCAAAGTTACAAGGTTGTAACCTATTATCCTATATATATATATATACACAGTATTTCCATTGGTCAAATGACTATATAAAAGGGCTGTATACAGCCCTTTTATATAAAAGGTAGTGAAGATAGTTTTCATTCATTGTGCTGACTTTATCTTTGATTTTTTTTAGGATTAAACGTGAAACATGAAATGACAAGAAATATTTTGTTCAGATTTAACCCCACATGTAGATTTGCACACTTTATAAGGCCACAAAAACTCATATTTTATCAATTTATGAAATGTCCCATGAGCCTTTCCTACTTGAGCGTATGGCAGACTTTCTCCAAGTGCACAGAATAAAACAAAAGAGGGCCATTGCATAGCTTAATCGTTAAAATAAGGGACTTTACTTTAAAAAGTATTTGTATTTCATGTATTATATTACTGTATTTGGCCCGCTGCCCTGGATAGATTTTCATTTTTGCCCCCTCAGGGAAAATGTTTGGGCACCCCTGGGTTAGGGGGTAGAGTCACTGGTGGCATCACAAGAGCTACTCTCACAACAACCCAATCCACCATTTACAATAACAATGCTACCATGTCCTCCATTGTTGTATTGCATATCTTTTAGGGGTTCTTCTTCTACTATGGTTAATGGTGGCTGGCAAACAGCTTAATCGAGCATAACTGCCACCAGCTGGTAAGGCTTGTGGCGTCAATTTTCAGAATCAGGGACTGCAATGTAATGGAACACCACCCGAACTGTGCTGAACCGAGTTCAATCAAGTCGAATCGTGCTATAGAGGCACTAGTGGAAAATGGCCAAAGGTTAGTGAGGAGAGGCTGAGGGACTTGACGTACGCAGAAGGATAGTGGATGTTTTTTAAACAAAGGAGAATGACTGTAGAGCTGGCAGGGAGGAGGAGAGGAGGACGAGCACAGGGGAAGGGTTCGCAGATGTAGTGAAAGAGGAGGACGCTAGAAAAGACGAACTAAGACGACCGAACCCTAAAGGTACTAGCAACCAAAAGAATGAAAGGAAAGATTTAAACTCCCATCTCTGAGAGTCATCTCTTTCATGACTCTCCAACCAGCTGTCACATTCAGCTCCTCCTCCTCCTCTCAGATCAGTCATCACACTTTAACCTCGAGGAGCTGTCACTACAGAGCCGCYGCTGTCCGTTCGTCACTGACTAAGAGTTCTGGCAGAGCGGCCGCTCACCAGGAGGACCAGCTTTCTGAGCTGAAATTAAAACAAACTGAAGGGAATCAGAGTCAAAAGAAGCGAAACGTGCTCCGAACGGTCTTACCTGAGAGCTCRGTTGTGATCGTGTCCGAGTCTCCGTACTCAAACTCCAGGTTCGGAGACTCCATGGAGCTCTGATGGTAAAACAAACACATAAGTCACACGCCTGCGATCATCCAATACTGAGAGGAGTTGTAACACTTTAAGAATAGTGTTCAGTATGTGTTGTAAATAACTTACAACTACAGATTATAGCTCTAAAAAATCGAGTCACTGCCACTCTGCTGAGCTGATTTGCATATTTTCGTCTCAGATCCTCTCTCACATTTTACAGGTGCTCTCTCTACGGAGACACAGCTCCTGTTTTAATCAGCCTAACTCAACAGTTTCAGGATGGTTCTCCCCATCGAAGTGGTCTGATGTGGCAGTGAATAGGAAATAAAGAGTCAACACAGGCGCCATTTTAGATGGGGACTATTTAGAGCCTTGCTGTGTCATCAGCATGAAACGTTTCATACAACTTACATTTAAAATCCCCACAAATAAAAGTAAAGCAAACCTTCAAGCTTACGATGACGWTGAGGAATTAACTTCAWGCAGTTGGAGATGTTTCTTTCAAGTAAGTTCCAAGCTGGAGGGACGATGGGGAACACACACACATATTGGAGAGCCGCTACGAAAGTAATTCTTTTTATTTACAAAGAAACGGGTTCTGCAGGACACTTAAAGTAAGAGAGCACTGCAGAATAAACAGGGTGACGCCTTCTAAAAAGCAATATGGTTTCTGCATGGTTCAAAATTACCAAAATGATAAATAGACTGCACTTACTATATAGGGCCTTTTTAGACAACCATGCTACGTAAAGCTCTTTACAAAGCTCATAAACTGTCTGTTGCCGGTAAAAGAAGTTTTTCTATGTGGACTTTTAAATGTACAAAACTAAAAAACACTTCTGACATCACTTCAAGCTGAGTGTAAGTTATATTTAACCCTTTGAAAACGCTCCCAAACTAGAGTAACGTGAAGGTCTGTAAATAAGGCCTCTGACGCAGCTGTCTGTGTTCCCATTTATAAACATGAGCCGAATCTTAGTCAGTATTACGAGCTAAAGAAAACTATTTGTCATTGCTGAACTTGTAAACTACTTGATAAGTAAAAGGTATACGCTACATAAAACACTAGACTCATAAAAATTCACGCCATTAGTCTTCCGCTTCAAGAATTTTAAAATTCCGATTGAGGCTTACTTTTCACTCCGCATTTTAYCTTATCTGCCTGTCATTAAAGAGTGACACATCTTAGTAATAAAAGCTAAACAAAACCGTTTGACGTCATTACTTTACACATAAAACTGTTCCACGAGTAAAGATACCCGATATGAAACACTAGACTCATAAAAATTCACGYCACTAGTCTTCTGTCGCTCACGTTTCAAGAATTTTTCAAATCCGATTCGTAGTTTTCGCACAGCGACTGTTTGTTTTGAGGCTTACTTTTCACTCCGCAAAACTGTCTGCCTGTCATTAAAGAGGGCGACAGAGGCAGGTGCGTGGTTACCATGGTGACCACAAGGAGCGGAAGCTTCTTTTGATCTTGGTTCTCTTTTATACACAACACTTATTGAATTTTTGTTTGATTTTCTTTTTTTGGGCAATAGATGCAGCTTTTTTATTTTTAAACCCAGACTCAGACTAGATACCGATATAAGGATGGGTGTATTATTATTATTATTATTATTATTATTATTATTTAGAGTGAAAGAATAATTTGACATGAGTGTATAAATATTTAGGCTCAGATGTTTGGAGACCCAGAGTCACATTTCAGCACCTGCACCGCTGTAGGATTACCGGGTTATTTTTAGGACTCAGTAGCCAAAATAACACCTCGCTGTCTGCCTGCGTGCTTTCGAGCCAAGACACCGCATGGAGGGGACGTTGAGCTGGTCTGAAAGCTCCCCAGCAACAACACACAYATATRTRCACACACACCAACATCTACCTCCGACTCCTTCTGCTGGTCCTTGAACGCATCTTTCCCYTTCGGCCGCTGTCTGTCGCCGTTGTTGTCGTTCAGGTTGTTCATGATGGGGACCTCCATGTCCTCCGCCTGCATCTTTTCTCGGCTCGGTCCGGCTCACTCACTCCTCGGCGGGTGTATTCGCTGCATACCGGTCCGTCTGGACGAGCTGAGACTGCAGCTCCGGTCCAGAGAGCAGAGCAGATGGGGGGGTCTGCTTCTCCGCCTCCTGCTGGTACTTCTGCTGCTGCTCCCCCCCCGTTTGATTCCCTGTCACCGCGCGCCCCGAGTGGGCGGGGTTAGAGACAGCTAGTTTCAGTCACTTTTTAGAATCGACTTATCTAAATCAACAACAAAAACTATGGAGGTAAATTTGTGTTTTTATGATTCAATCAAACAAAAAGCATCTTCAATCATTATTTTTGATTGAAGATGCTTTTTTGTTTGATTGAATCATAAAAACACAAATTTACCTCCATAATAAACAAGTTTTATTTTATTAAAACATAAATGACAAAATAAAAAGACTACACTTCAAAAAACTAAATTCACATATACGTTATTAAACAACAAAAAACTTCAACAATTCACCACGGAATCCGGAAAAGGACATGTTAAAAACAGTATTTACACTTAAAATTAGAGAACTTATGTTGTGCATAAAAAATTGTAAAATAATTTACAAAACTAACAGAAAACATTTGACTTATGCTGGAAAAACGAGAATAATTTTGTGAACAAGAATTCCAGTTTGAAAACTTTTTGCTGTAGAATACTTAACATGAAATTTGTTTCTTATATCAATGGTAAACTTTAAAT